TTTTGGCTTTGAAAATCCATTGCACCAATCAGATATAAATTTGGGTGGGATCAGGCTGAAGATCAAGGGGGAATTGTGGTAAGACTTTTGGGCAAAAAATGACGTTTTCAGGTAAAAATAACATATTTTTGTAACCTCGCCTTTTCCTAAACCTCGGTACAGGCTTTTTTGTAAATCCCGGTAAGATCCCAAACCCCAGTAAAATCTTTAAAACCCCGGTAAAATCCTCAAAACCTTGGTAAAATCCTCAAAACCTTGGTAAAACCCCGGTAAAATCCCTGTAAAATCCTCAAAACACTGGTAAAATCCCAAACCCTGGTATTAGAAACCCTGGTAAACCCCACCAAAACTCAAACCCCGGTGAAATCTGACCAGGGTTTCAAGACAGTATATAAAGAAACTCACCAAGTGAGATAAATCAGTCGGAAGAGTTCAATTAGAACGAAACTAGTCACTGCTAAAAAGGATAACTGGCCAAATCTGCCATCCTTATCTACCTAACATATTTTTGTAGAGAGAGAGAGAAATGGGGTTTAACGTCCACTCGACACAAACTAGGTCATTTCGGGACTAACATATGGTTTAATTTTATTTCAATAATTCGTTTGCGCGTAGGGGTCTTTAGCAGTGGGAGAAAACCGGAGGACAGGGAAAAAAACCCACAGGGTTGGACAGGCAACCCTACTCCAGGTCACGTACAAAACCCACGAGGTTGGACAGGCAACCCTACTCCTTGTCATGTACAACCGGGGATAAAATTGAACCATATGTTAGTCACGAAATGACCTAGTTTGTGTCGAGTGGACATTAAACCCCATTTTTCTCTCTCTCTCTTTCTTGAAAAGTTGGTCGTTTTTCTAGACAATTTGGTTGTTTTTCCTACTTTCACATGGATAAAACGAGTCCTGTCATTTCATATTTTCTTTGTCCACCTTCACCTGATGAGTATGACAGACATGTCGACAGACAGTTTACACCATGATAAAACTTAATCCCTTGTAAAGATTTACCATGTGTGATGTTCAAAGCTTCAGATATGATTGACATGTATATATTCATATGTCTTAATGACTGGACTTCCCACAATCAATCGATGACCTTGATACTTGACAATATGACCTTCCTACTTGAGATTTCAAGGCTAACTATAACACTGAGGTCTGTTTGACAACTTCAAGAGCCAACTACTGAGAATACCCTTCTTTAAAAACTCTGCCAGAATCACAAATCGGATAAATATCTCTTTAATAATAAAGATAGTCTTTAGATGTGATATTTATTCATACATTCAAGTCCCTTCAAAGATGGAATCTTAAAGTGTTTGTATCTTTCAGACAATGTCTGCTTTCCACGGCTTAATCCATGATAAAATTGCATCCATATTCTTTACTTAAAGGAGTTAAATCACTAATATTTTGGACCTAGAAATTGCCACAAATGAGTCGCAACACATATAGTAATGTAATATGAATTTATATAAACTGTTTTACATTCAATCGTGTCCGTTTTACTGTGAATTGTCATCAGTTATGTTCGGCGAAATACGCCAGAAGTCTCAGCCGCAAGTCAGTTTCTAGCGTCTGGTTATTCCAGTCATCACCGATATTATTTATTGTGCATGCTCTCCAAATAAGAATATGATATCACCGTTTGACATGATTTGTGGAATATGTCTAGCCTCATTCTTTGAGCACCTTGTTACAAATGGCGCTGAAACACATTATGGTACACGATTCGTGTACCAATGGTAAAATGTTTATTTTGTCTTAAATATTCGATATCAGAAGCCCATCTTTTCCAGGTAAGCTCACAACACCAATGCTGATTTAAATTGCAAAAAAATTTGGGTTTTTAATGTCGAAGATTTTGGATGATATTCAGTTACGGACTTAGCTGCTTTAATAGTAAGTGCAGGAGGACTGCACTACACACAATTACACAAAACAAATCTACAGACAAGACTCAATACATAAAAATCACAAACAAACATACATATCAGATTACTAAGACAAAATTAAAACATCTCCTGGCTTCAATCAAATTAAAAAGATGTATGTCAAATGAATATATGTTGTCTGCAAGGGGATACAGAAAGTTGGAAAAAAATTTCAATTTATCATATCTTTGTAAATACGGACAGAATTGACTGATATTCCTTTAGAGAAGCAACTGTTGTAATATAATAGTTAGAAAGGTAGAGAGATAGAAATGGGGTTTAACGTCTACTCGACACAAACTAGGTCATTTCGGGACTAACATATGGTTTAATTTTATTTCAATAATTCGCTTGCGCATAGGGGTCTTTAGCAGTGGGAGGAAACCGGAGGACCCGAAGAAAAACAACGAGGTTGGACAGGTGACCCTAATCCTTGTCACGTACAACCAGGGATTCGAAACCTGTTAGAAAGGAATTCTACTAACAATAAGAGTTCTGAGATTGTAAAATTAGAATTGGTCTGTTACAGTAAATAATTTCCAAATATATTGTAAAATTGGAATTGGTCTGTTACATTTAATAATTTCCAAATATATTGTAAAATTGGAATTGGTCTGTTACATTTAATAATTTCCAAATATATTGTAAAATTGGAATTGGTCTGTTACAGTAAATAATTTCCAAATATATTGTAAAATTGGAATAACCTCGAAAATATGAATAACAATATTCTTTTTTCAAGAAATAAATAATTTGTATTTTTTATACTGAGTTGTAAGAGTACGCTGATACAGCAGATAAAATAGCATTAAAAATTGACAAATCCATAACCTTACAAACAATCTGAAATAAACTCAGTCAAATTTATAAAAACATCAATAAAAATACAACAGTTATATCCTTTTGTTTAAAATTAAATAAAACATTTGTAATGTTGAATTGTTGAACTTCCCTAGGTCTATTGAAGATGTAATTTTATGGAATTACGTACTTGTCAAGTGAAACCAAATAAAAAAAGCTGTTCAAAATCAACAGAAATGAAAAAAGTACCAACTTGAACTCTTTTGCACTTTTTGTTTTAAAAAAAAAAACTGTCAGAGAAACCAGTTGTGTAAAAGTGTGAAAAACATCTAATGATAACAACAGATATCTATCTCCCTTCCGTCACTCGACCATTAAAAACCGAACCCAACGAGTCCTTAAACTTGATGAAATCATAAATTAAAGGCTCTTGATGCCTATCTCTGTTTCGGCTGAAGATTTAGGAGTCGATTTATTCACAAGTTTTTGAGAGAAACGAGGCTTGTTAGTCGTGAACCGTGACATAGTTACATCATGTATCATAATTTCTTGACAGATTGCTGACGTTTTTGACAAATCTGGACTGATTGAGACAATTCTTATGTTCCTGTTCGGCAGTAAAAAAGTCTTTAAATTTGAAGCGTTGGAATTCTTTACTTTGCGTGATCTTTGAGTGGCATCTGCTGCTATCATGATCATGATGAAAGTGATAGTCTAAGAATGAGGAATTAAAACTAGAATCTGTCAGGACAGATCCACATAGTAGTGGTATAGGAGATAGACTTCTAGTACAGTTCACTGGGTTCTAATAACATATATTATACTTGTAATATTTAAAATAAAAATTATATACGACTTAGCTATTTTTAAGTAAAGTTCCCTAATTCTTGTTAAAATATAAAAAATAAAAGTCACCAGTTTCTGGTTACAAGTAATATTAAATTTTTCAGAATATTTCACTAATGCAAGTAATATTAAAAATAAAAATTATATAGAACTGAGCTATTTTTAAGTACTGGTCACCAATTCTTGTTATTATATAAAAAATAAAGTTCACCAGTTTCTAGAAATAATATGAACTTAAAGATAATATTTAAAATAAAACTATTTAATTAGGACCAAGTCATTGGTAAGTATAGTTCACCAATCTCTGGTAATATAATATGAAATCATATATTTTTAAGTACAGTTTACTAATTCTTGTAAAATAAAAACTATTTAAGACAATGGTTTTGTGTTTATTATGTTTTTTGTTTTTTTTGTTTGAAAAAGCTGTTGACTAATATCCTTGAAATTGTTCTTGGTTATGTTATGGAAATTTTCAGATTAAATGTTCAAATGCCAAAAATCGTAAAAGACAAAAACCGGTTTGGTTAAATCTGATGGACAGCTAGAATGACAATAGAACTAAACAGATAACAATTGGTTAATTTGTCCTTCCTTATAAAATCTCCTTTTCCTCTCTCTCTCTATGCCATGGTGATATCAATCAATCACACAGACCCCTAAATTATCCTTTAATTTAAAATACAAGGCTTTGTTTAAACAATCTGATTCCTGACATTGCCAGACATTTAATTTGCTGATTCCGGGACCAATGGATTTAACATTTGACCTCTATTAAATTATCAAGTTAATAAATACAAGAATATACAATAGTATATGGGGTTTAACGTCCACTCGACACAAACTAGGTCATTTTGGGACTAACATATTGTTTAATTTTATTTGAATAATTCACTTGAGCGTAGTGGTCTTTAGCAGTGGGAGGAAACTGGAGGACCCAGAGAAAACCCACAGGGTTGGACAGGCGACCCTACTCCTTGTCACGTACAACTAGGGAATCGAAACCCTGCCAGTTGACTCAATGACAGACCGTATGATACAGCGCGGACATGCTAACCATTTGGCCATCCACCCCCCAAATCTATACATATATTGTTCCTTGTTTTAATATGTTTAATTACAAAAGGCCTATTAAACAAGTAATATTTCTTCATAGCAGAATTGTCATTTGAAGTAAGACCATATTGAGTATCTCATCCCAAACATGTCACACATACTGGTACATCTTTACCCCCCCTCCCCTCCTCCTCCCCTCCTCCTCCCCCCATTTACATACAATTTCTTCTATACTGCAAAAACTTCTAAATTATGCAATTTCCGATTATAGAGTCTTTACCCTACAGACATTTCTAAAATAATTCTGGCTAGAATATTCATTATCTCTAGTATTTGAAATGTTATTTAAATGTGGACTTACCTTTCATTTGGAAGAAGTTCATATTTTCTATTGATCTGATAGATGGTGTGTTATCGAGTGTTAGCTCAAACTCCGGTGACACGCGGGGAGCGAGTTCCATTTCTTTATTAAAATTACAATCAGCTTGGGCGACTCTTGCTATTAAACCAGTCGAGATCTGAAAGAAGAAAATGAAGAGAGATTGAGAGAGATGTGGTTTAACGTCCACTCAACACAACCTAGATCATTTCGGGACTAACATATGGTTTAATATTACTTCAATAATTCGCTTGAGCGTAGGGGTCTTTAGCTGTGGTAGGAAACCGGAGGACCCGAGGAAAACCATTAGGTTGGACAGGCGACCTTACTCCTTGTCATGTACAAGCAGGGAATTGAAACCACACCAGACCTTATATTTAAGAAATATAGCTGGATGTGGTATTCTCTGTACCAGTACATATATAATTGTAAAAAATCGTGCTGTATTGTTTGTTGTGTGCTGTTTTTCTGTGTTATTTGTGTTGTTTGTTGTGTTCTGTGTTATTTGTATTGCACGTTGTTTAGTCAAAGATGCCATTATATATAGAGCTGACAGTTCTCACTATAATAGTTTAAAAACAGATAATGAAAAATGGACATATTCAAAAGTTCATTCAAATTACTTTATTCTAAGTGAAGTTGGGTTGTTTATAGTTTGGACAAGATGAAGGGTAGATTGATTATCATCATAACAGCAGTACTGGAAAATCAAGACTAAGTCTCGATTATCCATTGTATCATTAAATTTTTAAATCTCGTAGGTGTTCAAATCCGTTTCAATCTCGGCCAACCGAAGCTCTAGAGAGTTGATTATTGGTTTGTCATGTGAATAAATGCTTAAATAATAATTTATATAAATTTGAAGCCAAAAGAAAGCCCTGCAATCGGCAGATTTAGCTTTTTTATAATGTACGTTTAACGCCTGTTTTCACAATAGTGAAGTATTGTAGACAAACTCTAGTCATTAGTACTGTATGAGATGAATTTTAACTCTTGCTTCCACAATATCGAAGTATAACAGACGAACTCTAACTTTTACTACTGTATATAATAAATAGTATCACGTTATCTATGACTGGTGTCATATTAAACTTGAATCACTAACAATAAACATCTTAACAAAATTATTGGAACTAATTAGTGAGATTTATGACCCAACATAAGTGTACAGTCATCATTAGTATCATTAGTAACCGTGGTATACGCAATAATAACCGCGGTATACGTAATAATATAGGTATAATATGACATTAACATACGATTAAATCATCAGTGGTATTTATAACGTCTTCAACATATTTATCTCCCTTTTCTACAATAACAAACACATGGCACCAGTGGAAGGTAAACCAATCAACGAGCATTATTAAGCGTATACTTTTTACCTAATTACGTGTTTAAATTGTCCATGCTGTAATGAGACCATGTGTTTCAAATCGTGGTCGAGTTTCTGTGATTCGCTTGAACTAGGAGTCTCACATCTCGCTCCGCAGGACGTCAAAATGATTCTTTCAACAGTGACAATATTTTTTAGGATTTGTAAAAATTGTGAGGAGTAGTCTAGATGGAGCTGTTTAAACGGCCATTATCATAAAACCAGTATCTCATTATGGATATATTATTTAAATAAAGATACAAATATTGTTTTGTATAATAAATCAGTATAATTCATGTTTTTTTGGGGGGGGTTACGATAACGTTGCGTAAAGTCTCTTGAACCCTATTTAGAGAGTGCCCTAATCTATAGTGATGTAACAAGTTCCGATATTTACCAGATCTGATGGAAATATTTAGATAATTGTCACATATATATGTTGACGGATCACTCTAGATTGAGTGGATTACTACCCAGAAATGTAACCCAAGTTATATTTCTTGTGTAGTAATCCACTGAAATACAAGTCCACTGACATAAATTTTATTTATACAGTCAGTCACTGACTAAACAGGCAACCCTACTCCTTATCACGTACAACTGGGGAATCGAAACCACGGCAGTTGATTCAATGACAGACCTTATGATACAGCGCACGTGCTAACCATTCGGCCATCCACCCCCCACCCCCAGCCAGCAAATACAACTGTTTAATGGTCCAAAACATCATCACAGCCATATTAGAATTGTCATGTCATGTCAAAAATCAAAGTCCATCAATCCATGACCAATTTTATTGTCCAAAGAACAATCTTGCTTACAATGGGACCTAAGGTATTTTTCCTGTCAGGCCCTTCTTCCAGCACCACTGACAAAGGGAATACACGCTGGAGAATCCTGGGAATTATCTTGGAGAGCAAAAGGATCAAACCCAGGACCTTCTCACTCAGCCGCTGCAACTCACAGAATTGATATGAGTTTTATAAGGAGTTATATGATATTGATATGAGTTTTATAAGGAGTTATATGATATTGATATGAGTTTTATAAGGAGTTATATGATATTGATATGAGTTTTATAAGGAGTTATATGATATTGATATGAGTTTTATAAGGAGTTATATGATATTGATATGAGTTTTATAAGGAGTTATATGATATTGATATGAGTTTTATAAGGAGTTATATGATATTGATATGAGTTTTATAAGGAGTTATATGATATTGATATGAGTTTTTATAAGGAGTTATATGATATTGATATGAGTTTTATAAGGAGTTATATGATATTGATATGAGTTTTATAAGGAGTTATATGATATTGATATGAGTTTTTATAAGGAGTTATATGATATTGATATGAGTTTTATAAGGAGTTATATGATATTGATATGAGTTTTATAAGGAGTTATATGATATTGATATGAGTTTTATAAGGAGTTATATGATATTGATATGAGTTGAATAGTTTTATAAGGAGTTATATGATATTAATACAAGTTGAATAGTTTTATAAGGAGTTATATGATATTGATACGAGTTGAATAGTTTTATAAGGAGTTATATCGATACTAGTTGAATAGTTTTATAAGGAGTTATATGATATTGATACGAGTTGAATAGTTTTATAAGGAGTTATATCGATACTAGTTGAATAGTTTTATAAGGAGTAATATCCTCATATTGACATGAAGTCTACGTTTACAACCCAACTAAAATAGATCTTACACAGCTGTCAGCAGAAAAAAAAAATCCTGCAAAAAATCCCTGATATTTCTCGTTATTTAAAATCTCTGTGATTTTGAGTATGAAGGTAATTATTGCGGCAGACGAGGAGTGTTAGTTTTTACTGTCAATTTACCGTACGTCTACTAACTACTAGAAAAACATATTTCTCCTCCACGCTACACCAATCGTCAATAAAAACATATCTTGACTAGAAAAAAAAAATACGGCTTCATTAGTAGAAAAAATATCTTATCTCTTAATCTCATCATCTTTACTGATTAAATAGGTGTAACATATTCAAAATCTACTCAAAATATTTTTAAAATGTTTCATAGACGCTCGTAATAAAAATTAAATTCGAGACACTTTGCGATAAATTGCCAGAAAATGTATATCAAAGATTTACTATATTTTCACATTAATAATTAATTTTTTATAAAGAAAAAACACTCCTTGATTACACCCTGTCTTTAAGCGATTTTACGATAAATTGCTAGAAAATATATTATTTGCTTCATTAATTTATATACATAAATTTCTAAAGTAGATTTAACATTAAAAATATTCCTAATAACCAAAACTATTTAGGCCAAAGCAATTTCCTTTTTAGTTTTTAGAGTCCATGATAGATAAATAATCACTTGAGTCTCTTGAAAGTTGTGTTGTTCAAAATTTCAGAACTTCAGAATTTCCAAATCTAAAGGTTTTCGAGAGGAGCAGCAGATAGTTGTTTTTTCTCACCAAGAAATAGGAAGTTTATAAATTATAAAAATAAATGTTGATTCCGTGATATAATGGCCGTCTATATCTTAACTGAATCTTTCTTAAATATAATATATGAAAACTCTTAATTCTTGAATTGATTCGCTATCGATATATTTACAGTAAGCATTTCCAGCTTAGGCGTGGGCCAAATGGTCCCAGGCCCAGGGCTCCAAGGTTTATGGTAAAAAGAGAAAAAAACTACTAAGTTCCACTTATCGGTCTAGAGGTGCGATGGGTGAGTCTGCGATTCCTCAACCTTCTCTATGATTGGTCAAAACCCATGACATAGGCGATCGCTTGTATGCTAATTATAATCTTTTCATAGTGGTCAGGGGAATCCGTGATTCTAGTCTGGTCCAGGGCCCGACTTCGTTTAATCTGGGCTTTGACAGTAATCAACATTGTAGAGAGATAAACAGGGGATATTATTCGTTAATATTAAGTACCTGATCTTAAACCGTAAGAATTTCTAAATTAATATAGTCAACAATTAGTGTGATAAAAAGATGATTAATGGCGACAAATTATTCTGGCTGATATAGGACTTATTTCCCCTTTATAGGGTGTTCCTGAATAACATGAACTTGAAATTGGTGTGAACTTAGTTAAATTGTTGTAGAAAAGTTGATTTCAATTTTCGTATACCAGTATTTTATTCTGCATGATTAAGTTTTGATGAGAATTTAAGAGATGTAAATTGCGTGGAATGTTGTAATGATTTATGATGAATATGATATCCATTTAAAAAAAAGTCTACAATCATTTTTGAAAGATGGATATTGCAATTTGAAATCCCCAAAGTTTATGGGTTTCTTAACACATCATTTAAAATAAACTTCTTTTATTTCTTAATTGATGATGGTTTATAATTTAACTAGAACACTTTCTAAACCATAATTCCTGTATAAAGATGGTGTGTTTTAACCTTAGATATGAACAGGGCACATTTTCATTGTCTTATTTACACAGGCACCTAGTTGCATAACTTTTCAAATTTAGAGAGAGAGAGAGAGAGAGAGAGAGAGAGAAAAAAAAAGAGAGAGAGAGAGGAGGGTAACATCCATTTGACACAAACTAGGTTATTTGGGGACTAACATATAGTTCAACTTTATTTCAATAATTCGTGTGTGCGTAGGGGTCTTTAGTAATGGGAGGAAACCGGAGGTCTCGGAGCAAACACACAAGGTTAAACAGGCGACCCTTCTTGTCATGTACTACCGTCGGAATCGAAACCACGCCAGTTGACTCAATGACTGTCCAACCTCGTGGGT